GGTAGAGCAGGGTTCACCGAATTTTTCGCATTCGAGATCTAATCAGAGTAACACGTTGTGGGATGTTGTTGCGAAATCGATCTCACCATCAGTTACGTGCTTGCAATCTCCCCCACAGTTGTCGGAGAGAGGATGCTGTTGAACCAGTTCAACGACAGTTAATCCTTCCCACACAAAGACAACAAATCGTCACGAAGATGTGTAGCCTATCCAGTCCAAGCACGGCGAGCGACGCATGTTGCAATAAATTATGAATATTCGGGTCATTTGCAACTGTCTACACTCACTTTTCCATTACTCTGCGTAAAGCACAATGTGACCCGCAAAAGTCGCATAGAGAGCGGGCCCTAAAAATTGAACTACAATGTGTTAAAATAGGGTAAATTCAGTACTTCGCAGGTGGATATCGAGTCGAGGAAATCCTCGACGGGGGGAGGGAGTGGTCTGGTGTAGGGTCGATCATGTGGGAGCAGTAACATCAGTGATCAGTGGATGCAGATTCTTTGCAGAGTTTTAGTGCTAATCTCACCACCTTATGAGATTAGCATATTTGGAGAGCAATACAAAGAATGACAAGTTGCATTTCCGCAAGGAATGAAGCCACATGTGCACATGCCCTGTAGATGCACCTTCTCTACCGCCTCGTTGAGAATGACACTGTTGTTAGGGACGCTGTCGCAAAAACGGCAATAGTTCTGGAAAGGCCCTGGGCAAATGAAGCTTCAGGTTACAGGAGTTACGAAATGTGTTTACTACAATACAGTTTCTGTCAACAGGTCATCATCATATGTACAGGGGGCCAATAAAAAAGACATTTTGTCTCCAGACTCAAATGGATTTAATCACACTTTGCTCAGCTCAAAGCGTGTGCTCCCAACTTAGAATTGAAGAGCGCATTTCATTTCATAAGAAAAGTGGCCATCTACGTGGACGGCATCAGAAAAGTTTGCCCCGGAAACATGGTGCTCTGGTCGAGCTCAATGGGGTTCTCGACTGATCGTGTACCGTTACGACGGGTTCCGAGGGGGTTTGCATAGTTAGAGCTAATGTCCCTAGGAAACTATCCCACGTTGAATCGATCCAAGAAATTATGTAAGAGCTTCAGGCTGAAGCAGTTACTGTAGGCCTCCCTGAGCTCGACGACGGTGACAGATGACGTCATATTCTGAAGACGGTGAGGGTAGTGAAGGAGGGCCTGCGTGTACTTATAGAGGGACATTTAGGGAATATTTTGCTGAGGAACTTCCGTCAACGACGGCAATCTCTGCGAAGAAAAAAGGCCGAAGTGCGACCTGGGCAAAATGTCTTTTTTTGGCCCCCTGTATAACAAGTTTTAATAGATTCTGCAACTTGAGTGGAGGTCGGATGCATGGCCTATACTGAGACGAGATCGGATGATGACGATTGCCCCTTTTCCTTGTCGCTTACGTTGGGAGAATTTATTCTAGACACATTTCGAGCGTTGCCAACGAATTACTTGCAATGGTGAAGAAGGGAGCGGATTTTCAGGTGGCCGAGATCCGTCCTCGATAGATCCTCGACGCAAATATCTCTCAACTAGAAATGTAGAAGAAAGCTAAACATACTTCAGAAAGCGCAAACCTTCCGCTTTCCAAAACTGTCTTCCTTTTTTAAATCTTACAAAATTAGAGAGATATTGCCTTTTAAGTGGCAAAAACTCCGCATGAAAATTTCCTCGACCTGCTTCGACAAAATTTGAGAGCTCCTAACTTCTTCTTCGAGTGAAACTATTAGATTAAAATACAATATGCCGTAGTAGCAATCCAAGCTCTATCTAACCCTACCACATACTGCTCCAAAAGGTTATGAATGGGGAGTGGAACCTTTTCATCGAGAGTGTAGATTTCGACGGTTTCGAGCGGGTTTCGGCAAATCTGACCCACGGATGAACCGCGCTGTCTATCCTGCCAACACTTTATAGTATCACATAATTCATGTTCTCATTATTCATAATTCAAATCAAAGCTAGGGTTCGTCTCGAGAACTCGCCATTTTGGGATAGGTCGTACTGAAATGTACCTCCTCGACACGATCCCCACTCCTAGTACTCCCTTAAGAAGTCATAAATACTTCTCGATCTTTTCGATTTCGCGTTATTTTCATGATTTGTTAATAACCCAGTCAGATGAAATATTCTAGAGCAAAAATACCTGCGATCCTCAGCCTCATAAGGCGCTCCAAGTGCATATATCTGTAGATACTTTGAAAAGTTTAATTTGGATGCGTCCTTCAACACTTGAAGTTCATCCTGAAAGTAATTCGGATGCATTCTGCGTAAATAAGCCTTAATTTAAAGCAACCTGACTTTGTTCCACGAAAGTGATGAGTTTCAGCACATAGCCGCAGAATAAGCCACTTACTCGGACTCAATCGCACTTGCAATTTGTGAGTCTAATGGGTATTTTCTCTCGGACTTCGCCACATTTTTATTTTTATTTAAACGCCAAGTGTACTAATCGTTGGCCCCCACGAGGGGTGGCCAAAAAAGACCACTTGCAGAGAGGCGCATCAGGAGAGGTTCCTGAAATAAAAAAACTTTCGGCCAAATATATCACGAAACCCTCCCTGTATATACGTAGCCCTTTTCACTGCTTTACTTTGCCTAAGAATATACTTATCTGTCATTCTTGCCGCCTCGCAGCTCCCCGACGAGACCTTACTCCTAGACTGTTCCATCCTGGAGCTGTCCACTGAAATTTTTTTATCAGTTAGTTAGTGGAGCACGTCTCGCTAGACGGTGGCTCAGATTATGAAGAATCCCTGCCAGGGTCCACCGTCCGTTGGACAACCTCGAAGAAGGGGGGGGGGTCGTTATTGGGGGGTGGAAAAGAGGGGGGTCGTATTTCGCGAGGTAGCGTCCATTTTACAGTACGGGAGGGGATGAATCTTTATGAAACGGAGAGCGTATTAGGGTTGCTGGAAAGTACGGGAGGGGATGATTTTTTATGGAACGGAGAGCGTATTAGAGGTTGTTGGCTGGGATTTCGAGTGCGAAAATTCTACCGTTTCACATCCGCTCGACGGCAGATTTGGAGGGAAAAGTGGGCGGAGTGTGGTGGAGGATGGTCGTGAGGGGTTAACCCTGAGGGGGGGGTCGTATCGAGGCCCTCTAGAAGGGGGAGGGGGTCGTAAAATTTTCGAAATTGGTCCAACGTGACGGTTGACCCTGATCCCTGCTGATCAGCATTCAATGTAGACAATGTCAGAACGAAGAACGATACTTCGGAGGACTCGCAGAGCTCTACGCTTCAATCGTGTTCCCAAGGCAGATGCTTGTGATTTCCCCAGTGTAGAAGGATTTTGTAAACTTCTTCGATAGTATGGAACGTACGCTTTAATACTCTGACGGATATAGGGTTTGAGTTTGGCGGAGTGATATAAAGTCAGTCCTTGAAGTAGAGGGCAGTGCCTTTTTTGGCCACCCCCGTATGTTGGATAGTTCATAATTGGAATAGAAGTGAACCTCGTCAGTAAAATTTTTTCAAATGATAAACACAAAGTAAAAAATTGGCCGAGACAACAGCTGCAAAAAACTGAAGAGTACAATTCATTATTTATAAGGAATCAACAGGATTTGAAAAGTCACATCGCAAACAACATTCAAAAATTAAGTACAACCCGCCAAGTTATCGGATCAAAAATGTGAGATAATCTGAAAGGCCCGCATCGAACGAACAAATCGTCAACATCGATAATAGACCATGAGATCACAGCCACGACTCTTATTTTTATATCCAGGCTTCTAGGGATTATTCGATGGCCAAGCCCAGGCAAGCAATACTATCTGAATCACCCATCCACACATGAATACGCTGGCGTAGCAGCTCAGCAACGGTAGAGACTCAAAGGAGGATTCCATGATAAGCACGATGGTCGAAGAAGTTGAAAATTGTCTAGGGGCAGGGGAGACAGGCGGACCTCCGAGAGTACGGACTAACACTAGTTGGCGGGTACGCCCACCGACTATCTAATCACTCGCCGCAGGTCTATACGTGGCGAGTGATTAGATAGCAGAGAGAGCGTAGTGTTTGAAGAGGGCACAGCGATGAGAGTCGCATCAATGCTCAAATCAACGGGCAAGGAAGGGGTCCCATTTCTCGGGTTCTGGGCCGTTTCTCATGGTTTTCCTTCCTTCTTGTACCACTCACCATCCCTAAAACCCTTTCGGCCCTGGCGGTGGCAATTGCCACCATCAAAATTCAAATGCTTGCATTGCCGCTGAAACAGCATGGTTTTTCTAATCCTGCTAGAGGTTGCTTCAGTCAACCTTCCCCTTCCTAATTATGAGCTAAACCTGCCATTTCATTGTGTGTTGCTGTTAGTATTACAAGTATTTGTGTACAAGTGCAACAATGAATCGGGCGCTGACCCCCGCAACCGGCCAAGTAAGTGTGACTTTTTCTTAAAATACTTGAAGTAGATCCATTCTTCAATCAAATTATGGGTTATAATGTTGTGCAAGATTATAAACTTTTTCGGCATAACTATGAAATTTCGAATTGTTTCGACATAAGCTTAAAAACTAAGAAGGTGGGCCAATTTTCAAAGCTTCTTAGTTTCTTTGTTTGTGATCGAATAGCTTCCAAATTTCGCCATAATGATACCTATATGCTCACAAGTAATAAACAATAGCTAGAAGAAAAATTTCTCCACGGGGAAAAATTCAGGTCCGAAAGGGTTAAAGATTCTGAAATGAAGTTTACTTTTTCATCGCCATTATAAATTAGGGTCTAACTAGTAAAGTAATATTGTGTGAACTTCATGATGACAAATGATTGCGAACGAATGCATAGGGTAGCCCATGTCGAGCAAGACACCCAGCGTTCCTTTAGCCTTCTAAGGTTTCAGTCGCCTCGTTTGTAGAAGTAAAACAGAGGCTGGACTGCAACAGGAGCACCTCGTGACCTACTGACACCGTATTCGGTAGAAGAGAGCGTGCGAAGAGCTCCAAGCACCTGCAAATATCAGAAGATAAAAGTTCAACTTGTAGAAGGAACACCAAGGCTGACCGTTCCGGGACGACTCCGTATTGCTTTAGAATCGGCAGTATCGGCGGTTTCCGAGACGGCACCGCCATCGGTACACTAGAGTGAAAAAGGGGTAAAATCATTAACAGCGATTTACAAATGACTGTTTATTCTTTAAAATTCGATAGTTCAAGAGCGAACGTTCAATTTTAAGTACCTTACAAGAACCTTCCCATCTGCGGCAGAGATAGCCGAGTAACGAGTTGAATACTCTGTTCGAGAAGCGAACACCAGCCTCTCGTATGGCAGCTTATGGCTACTATTGAAAGAGCAAACAGGATCTCCTTCGAGTGTCACCTCAAATACTACAAATATTGTAGAATCAAGCGAGAGAACCCACCTTAGGTTACCAGCAATAAGATACACAGTGAAGCAGATGATATTCTCCTGACACACTTTAAGAAACGAACCTTCAACCAAAAGAAAGTGGCAAGTCGAGTCAATTTCCACCGCCGAAAATAGCTTTCGAGTTCGTTTTCAATACCTGAAAGGGAAGAGCAATCGACTAGGAACGAATAAATTTATAGCTCTAACCGCTCCAAAATATGAAAGAGCTTTCACTGCTGGCCCTGAGCCCATCCCTTTGTTTAATCTGACATGGTCATGGTGAACTTAGGCCTAGGAACGGAGGATTTTCTGTTCGAAAAATAAGTTTTACGCGAGCTTGGGTTCATATGAAGACAAATTTACTGTTCGGAAGACGTTCGCCAGGAAGCGGGGGGGGGGGGTTTACAGCTGATCAGGAGGTTGTCCAACCCGGATAACTGCTCCACCATCTTTCTCAGTGGAAAGCTATCTCCGTCGCTCCTGACTAATTCCACGATTCGGCAGAAACGCCTTTTTCTTGACGAATTGATTGTAAAGAGCGAATGTTGATTGTCGTTGACGCGCCATGCGCGTTCGACTGTGACATTATACATCGCATCTATACAGAAAGGGGGCAAAAAATGAAGTCACCATGCCTATGGCACACATCACCAAGCTTTTTGTCGCGCAAGGTGCCGCTGTTGACGGATTTAACGGCAAAATATTCCTCAAATGTCCCTTCATAAGCAGAAGCGCGCCCTCCTTCACTGCTCTCGCCGTCCTCAGATATCTGTCTTCACAGTCAAGCTCAACGAGGCCTACCGTAACTTGTCCACCCTGAAGCTGCTGCGAAAGTCCAATCGGTTGACTGGTAGATAGGCTTCCTGGTGGCAGTATCTCTGACTATGCAATACCTCTTTTGACCAGCTTTTCAGTTAACTCGCAATAGTCCACAATCCGTCAAGAACCTTGTTAAGTTTGAACCGTGCACCACCTCCTCGTGGGAAATAGGTACTTCTGAAGTCGTCCGAGTAGAAGCTATGTGAACAATTTCTGATAAAATGGAATGGGTCCTTCGGCCATCATTGGGACAATTCGGTTCGAATTTAGTAGAGTGAACCAATTTAGTTTTGAATGTAGAAGGGAGTGACCTTTTTTCTGCGCCCTCCCCACGCCTCGTCTCCACGTCCCCTCCTCCTGTTATCGAGGTGCGATGGCAAATGAATCGAAGTACTTCGGACAAGGAGGGAGAATTTTCAAGGTATAAAATGTATTAATAGCTTGACTTGGGAGCCCTCTAGCTTTTCAGTAGCCATAAAATATCCACTTCTTCACTGATCATCAGAAATCAAACCTTTTCGATTTGTGATCCAAACGCCACAAACCCAGGCATCGGCCAAATATCCCAAATCCGACACTTTCCAATGGCGAGATGCTCACTTGTCCGCATTACCGGATATGTTGATCATTGAGATACCTAGCGGCAATTCATCAAATCTTACCTTTGCTGACGTTTCACAGAAAGGTTCTTCCATGGAGGATCCATAACCACCAAATCGAACACTTCACCTGTAATAGATTCTCCTGCTCGGTACTCTGTTGCAGTAGTCATTAGAAGATCGCTGCTTTGGCCTAGTTCGAGGCAGTGATTGCGATGAAGTGGTTGGTGGAGGGGTTCGCGGTTTTGATGACGTCATTGAACTCCATTGGTGGCGTTGAGAGGCGGTCTCAATCACATCCCCGTTGAGGAGTCCAGTCCACCAATGGCGCTCAGTGACGTCAAGGTGACTCCACCGTGGTCCTCCACCGCCCTCCAGCCATTGTATTAGCTGCCTCAGAGTGCATTTGACTGTGGAAAAATTATGAGGACCTTCGCACCATTTCCATCACCTATTGTTTCACTATTTAACCTTTCTGCATTAGGTAAGTGAATAAGTAAACTGGTCAAAACGAAAGCAGCAGTTGCAGAATGTATTCTGTACAGTTGCTAAGCTTTGCAAAAAAATAGCATGGCATGAGGAACTCGCAATTAATGGCCTCGGTACGGTGGGGGTAAGAGGAAAGTAGTAACACTCAAAAATATTACAAGGGAAAAGTGGCGCAGTGGTTAGAGAGCCTATCCACAGTTGCATGGTCTATATAATCATACCGTTCCAATTGTGTATAGCTGAGGCGCACTTCGGCGTTCTATACTCCGAGGCGGTGCCATATGTACATAGTGGCGAAGCAACAAAGCGATGAGGGCTTCACCGTCATCGCTTTGTTGCTTCGCCTCAACGGCCAAAGCGGTCCAAAGCATAGGTCAGATGTGTACTGTGAACCTCCCATACTTCTGAATAACAATTACCCTAATTTCCGGTAGATAAGCCTGCGCCGATTTCACGTACCTCCGCTCGTGCAGTGTAATTTTGTACACCTTAGAAACTACCGCAAATTTGCCTATAGAGGTAAGTCGATGCCCTGATTACGAAAATGACTTTCATTTTCAGCGGTGGCGCCATCTGGCGCCAGTTGGCGCCACCTTGTCACGACACCTGTTTTCACCAAATTTGGTGTAAACTTCCGTATAGGGGTTATTTGGTGTCCTGATTACGAATATGACATTCATTCTCGGCGCTGGCGCTATTTGGCGCCTATTTTCTGCTCGTCTGCGCTCTCAAAACAAGGGTCGTGACAAGGTGACGCCAACTGGCGCCAGATGGCGCCACCGCTAAAAATGAATGTCGTTTTCGTGAATCAGCATATCGAATTACCCCTATGGGCATGTTACGGTTGTCTCTAGATGTACGCAAGTGCACTGCACCAGCGGAGGTGTTTTTACGTGATATTGGCGCGGGCTTATCTACCGGAAATTAGGGTATGTAGTGCATCGTGGAAGAAGTAACTATCTTTGGAAATTAGCAGTGAATAAAGGAAAAGGGGAATTTTTCTGCACACTGCATGATTTGCGTGTTATTCATGGTATCCGCAGTAAACTGCCTATTTATGCTTACGACTATTGTCTCGAAGTTTATGTCGTACATTAGCAATGAAACATTTCTAGGTTCGATTGTCGATAGTTTACACGAGACCTGCTAGTAAGTGTTTTTTAACAACCACAGCGAGCAAGACTGAAATGCGCTCCGCCCCAAAAAAAACTTCCACCCACTAATTATGTTAGTGATTTGGATAAGCTTGGTTACCAGCAGCGGCACAACTGGAGCAACTCGACTGAAGCATGATTGGCATGATGCCACAAACGCGCTGCAGTAAACTCGTCCATACGTTAACTGTCTTAGTCCCGTTTTGCGCCTCCTTGACGGATCTCTCTTTAGTTGCCATTGAGGAACCATTGACCACACCCATACCCGCTCTAAACCTCTCCAGAACCTATCGTAATCGCTTTTGATCTCATCTGAGATCGAACCGATGTGAAATGTGCACACTCCGAAACATCTCACCTAAAAGTCTGGGGTGCACACTCCGAAACATCTCACCTAAAAGTCTGGACTCTGTTACAAAACATTTTCAAAAGACCTTATTCCAGGTATGAAAGCCTGCTTAGCGCCCGAACTAATTTCATGGTAAATCATGAGTCATGCGTAGATGATGCCGATAGCTAGCGCTTACGGTTCAAAACAACTAGCTCTCTCTTGAGGATGATTGTCGCCATTAGCAAATGACATACCGTTAATTGAAGCAAAATTCCGAACATCTGAGACCGAACCGATGTGAAATGTGGATCGTGGAGGAACAAAGTAAGTTGTGGCTTCATCGTTCTTCTTTTCTGTAATATCAATTCTTCTCCAACTTTTAAATCAGTAATGAATTTTGTTTTGTTTTTGTTTGCTAACTGCTGTTTGGCCGCAGTTCGACTTGCGAATGTTTCACGAGAATGCTGGATTGTATCAGCAATGAATTTTGACTTGTTTTTGTTTGTTAACTGCTATTTTGGCTTAAAAGCTGAGTTGGAATGAAATGGTGCCCCGGTAGCGTAACTGGTAGCGCACTTGCCCGGAAAGCGAGAGGTGCGGGTTCTAGTCCCGCCTGGGGCGAAAGTTTTGTTCACAACCCAGCATTCTTGTGAAACATTTTTGATCAGTTTTCTGTGAAGATAAACCCTATTATAAGAAGAACTTGAAAAGGTTGAAGTTTGTTTCGTAGAGACACTGCCCTGCAAGAGCCGGAGTAGGAAATTGAATGGTGGGATTTGAACAAGAGAACGAGGGTGTAAAGTTACCCTGCGAGACGGGTGCTGGGGCCCCAGTTGACGTGCTGGCTAAAGACTGTCCAGGAACACAAGTCAATGACTAAAAATCGTAGCTCGTGAAATAGAACGTCATTGGGAAAACTCCGTCGTCAGTTTGAAGGGGTAGTCTCACTTGAAACGTGGGATACATGGGGCGCACAAAACGTCGCTGAAGCGCAGGAAAATCGAGCACCTGCATCTGCAAAAGGAATACGGACGAAGTTGGTAACAGGGGATTTGAATCTGCAGCTTTCAGCAGATTTGCCCATTACTATTACGACCCATGAGGGCACCTTTGTTTTATGACCAGCTCGTGCTCTTATTTTATGTTCAATCTGTCTCGAAAGTGTTCCTTCGCTTTAATATGAGCTACACAGTGCCTAATACCCGCTTTTAGAAACTGTTGTTTTTGGGCTTCATAAGAATGAAAATGCGACTTTCCGGAAGTTACTCAGAACTTTTCTGCCAACGTATTAGATGAACCGAATACCCACTAGTTTACCAATATTAGATCCCTTTGTTTCTTTACCTACGTCTTCAGCTCATACTGGCAATCATCGCTATTCCACTCTATGTGAAGTGTGAACTGACGGTGAGCATAGACAGCGAATTCATTGAGATCCTTTTTAGCACTTTGTTGACGGCGAAGTCACACTCCCTGACGACGATATTTCTCTTGCTGTCCTCTCTGCGGTCAACTTTCGAGTGCCTCACTGCTAGAAACTTGGCTTGGAAAGTCGCTCCACAATTCAATGAACAGATGCGTATGCACATAAAGGCGGATGCGAAGAAAAGTTGTTTGCTGATGTAGACTTTGGAAACGCAATGTAGGGGGCAGAGTCAACCGTCACGTTCGCACTTTTTCAAAAATTTTGCGACCCCCTTCGTCTAAATGCGACTCCCCGCCACCGCCATGAGAATTAGGAGGCTCTGCCACTCTCCCAATACGTCCTCCCTTCTTCCTACCCCGACCGTCACCTTCGCCATCATGACTGATTCTTCTATAATTTTGATTCTGAGGCCAGTCGTCACAGCCCAACTCCGCTCACCTTTTTCTCCTCCAAAACGGGCCATCGAGTTGGGGGAGGGTGAACTCATTAACCTCCCTCCCCGCTCAACCCCAAAATGCGACCCCCTCGTTCAAATAGTGCGAACGAACCGTGGCAGGGGGTAAAGAATGTAAATTCTTCGCCTTGGTGTCATTTATTTCTAGTTCTTCGGATCGTTTCCATATATATGTATATTTTTGTTTGTTTACTGTTGTAAGTCCACACGAGCAATGTGTAATAAATCAAATCAATCGAGCGGTTAAGCAAGAACTGATGGTAAGAGAAATGGCTTAGAAATCGCAGAGCGAGATCTTTGTTTTCCTATTTGATTTCTCTTCATCTTTGAGTTTGTCAACCGTGCTGCTCATCAATTCTCTGGGCCTAGTCGCTCCTCCACTACAACGACTAGAGTTAACGCCGATGGTCAGCAGCCATCTGGGTTAGCCATTGGTGGGCGGGCAGAGAACTAGCGTTCGAAAGGTAGTGAAGGTCTGTCCAGACGTGCGACTGCCACACTTGTTAAAAGCGACGCGTTTCGATCTTGACCACAAATTCATTATACAATATGTAAGCAAATTCCATTATCAATCACCTCGATTTATCGTGTCGCCTGCATTGAGACTGCGATTTCGAATTTGAAGCGAATTGGCTGCCATTGCGATTAGTGCAAGAAGCTACCATTTTAATCAACTATACTTTCAAGCTGTCCTGAAATTTTTCTTCGCTGCACACTTAGATCTCTATGGTGTCATCACTCGACAGTAAATACTGCAGGTTATTTATCTCGTACATAATATTGTCTATGGCCGGAGCTCACTAGAATTATAATTCTATATACAGAAGCAACAAATTAAAGAACCAAGACACACAAATTTATTTTTTAATCAAAAATTTGTTCATTGTTTTTTATCGTTTTTTGATATTTATCATATTGCTTATGTTTTTTTTGTTTTTATTATTATTAATGTGTTATTATAGTTTGGTTATCGAATACATAAATAATAAAAATGAGAGTAAATAAATAAATATACAATAAAAAAAAATTCTTGGTGACTTTTGTGTCATAATAACATAGCAAGGGTTAATTAGTCAACGTTTTTACTACATTTTGCTTTGAAGGAATCTTGCGCGGAAAAATCATGATTCTATTTCAGCCATAAATCACTGGCTTGAGACTCATTATCCACGATAATAGTGAAAAGAACTGAAGTATTGCTTTCGTTTTGATTAGAAATTCGAAAACTCGAAAAGGCTGCTACGCGTTCGAATTGCCCACGGACGTCTTTCACGAATGCTGGCGACGGGGATGCTCAAACTTGGTTCTTGGAGTGCATTCACTAGAAGCTCTTTCTGGCCTTCTGCTTCGTTGCATTCACATCTTACACTTCTACTCCATCGATCGATTTGTCTCCACTCTCCGAAATCGCGCGCTTTAACCCGATTCTCTCATTGCGTCGCCTGGTACGTAGCCGGCTCTTTTCATTGTATCACTGTCTGCTCTCTGCCCCGATGGTCCATAACGTGTAGTTTTTGTACGTTTGTTTCTCTTCAGAAACCGAATCTTCATGCGTGAAACTTTGTGTGCTATTTCCAGTGATCACAACTGACATATTCATGTTAGGAAAGAGTGCAAGAATTTTCCGCGCAAGATTCCTTTAAAGAAGGAGCAATTGAAGATTTTACCGATACCTGTAAGAATGCAAGGCGCGAACGTTTTCTGTACCAGAATTTAGCATGCAAAATTCGTCTTCATCTGACAAATCCCTGCAAACATAATACGAAAAACAAAAAAAGTTTGGGCATACAAATTCACTAAATACAGCCGAAATATTGCCCCCACTGATAAACGTTCGATCTTCTTTTTGTCGCCATAAGGATAAGGATAGTAGTGATAAAGAATTTGCCTTATCAAACCTGTTTTGGGATGCGACATTGCATTCTACTTACATTTTCGACGTTTAGAGTGCGTTGAACATAGCAATGATCATGGATGGGCCACCGATGGATAAAGTCAGAGTATTTATCTCTCCAGACCGTTGGTAGCATTAAGGACCCGATGGTGGAAAGCTGATGGTACGGACGAGCAACTGATTCGATTCCAGACTGAACGCGTCGTAACGTATCACTACAGACCACGCAGTTCGTCTGCCTAATCTGCGGTATTAGTCTTAGAAAATCACCTGAATCAATGCGAATCATGTTTGGAGAGAGGATGGGCTGTACCAAAATAGTACGACCATTGTTACGACTAACCGGCAAAGTCCTTGCCCGGCTATCAAAGATACACAAAATGGAGCGTGACGAAGCAAAATGTCTCATTGTGCAAAGATCCAGCGGCCGAAAAAATTGGAGAAGTGGCTAAAATTGCGGGGTGGATATGTGCAGAGAAAACATCGAATGATGGGCGGTAGATTCCTAAAATGGGACAGATGTCTACTGAAGAATCGCAAATCGGTGACAAGATAACGATTATACCAAGGAAAAAATGTATAAATGAACATTCTATACAAGCAATACTCGAATAGCTGAGTGATAACGCCACCCAAATAACGGCAGCTATTCTTGGAAATGGCACTGTTTCAACAGGTTTTGTAGCTCAGTTCTGAGAGAATCAGCAACCCATGAAAGAGTGATTAAATTAGCAAGGAGGGAATGAATGTCATGGTGAAGAGTAACATCAGAGGAATGAGATTTCTGAAGAACCTATGATTCCTCTGCTAGAAAGCTGCCAGAGATTGGGGTCAAGCATAAATAGGAGCCGCGAGGGTCGGTCAAGTGGCAAATGGAAAGAGTTGAAATTAAAACTTTATAATTCTTTTCTAGATCGCAAAGATCGCAAAGAAATGAGCAGAGATCAAGAAGTAAGAGAAGTCAAGTTAAATGGAGGCCGAATGTAGAAATTTCGGTCACGCGTTCTATATCTGCGAAAAAACCAAAGTATGTACACATGTGCGGGCGCGAAATGACATTGAGGTATAACTCAAAACTATTTGAGAAGCACTGCTATAATGATATAATTCTTAAGAAGTTTTAATACTTTTTTTTTGTTTTCTTATAAAAATTTTGTACAAGAGCATTCTCATGCCTTTGCCGATCTTCTGCTAATCTCAAGTCAACAAAAAATGCATGTGAGATAATATAATTACTCTTCGAGAAAGCCCTGCATCATAAAGTGATTGACTTCTGGAAAAACTAACGATTCCCAGTCACAATGGTGATTGCCTGCTCTCGGAAACGGCACAAACTGCGCAGCGACAACTCACCCTCTGCTTGTTCTTATAAATTTCTGGTTCTTGCTGCGCTTCAAGCTTATTACATTCATAATATGTCTAAGGCCAATGGAGTATGGCAAGTGCACACGATGACGCGCAGCCGGTCCGGGATCGATCTGGTCGTGACGTCGTCCACCAAACAACTCATCTCTACGATCGATAATTGTTAAGCTGGTCTGGGAATAAAAACCGACTTAGTACATTCGCTGTTCCCGCAATCATTGTATAAGGCCATACCCGCATTCAGGCATACGAATGTACCAAGGAATAGATTAGGAATCGCATCCCAACAAGCGGAGAAAAATCAAACGGAAGCTTACTCCCTCTTATCGATTTTTTGTGAAACTGACCAACAGGATAAGCGCGCATACAAAGATCAGTGTATAATATAATATTTCAAGGGGCTCTTTGAATCACTACACCACCAAGACTATCTTTCCCAACTCCACACTACTCTCATAGTTTCTCAGTAATCAGGCGCATAACGGTTAGCTGAAATTCGGACCACGCGTCGTGCAGGGCTTATCACCTTACAACGCTTCATGCTTCATCCATAATCCATCTCGTCTGAATAAAAGCTTATGGTTAATTCTTGAAAGAAGTAGAATTGCCAGAAAGCACGAACTACGTCACGAGGGAAAATGGGGTGGGATACGTGGGCATACTACATCGTTCCATTACACCCAATCCCACACCAAATAAGTCTGATTAACCATTCTATGTATCACCTGGCTAACAAGCAGGGTCAACCGTCCGTTCGCATATTCGAACGGGGGGTCGCATTTTGGGGTTGAGCAAGGTTATTGTGGTGGATACGGAGGTTGTTAAAAGGAGTTGTGTTTGGATGGGTTTTTTGACGATTTGGTGGAAATCTTATGAAAGCAGTGAGAATTAGGTAAAATTGGTGGATTTGCCGCTTCGTGATACCAATTTACCCCCCGCTCGACGGCCATTTCGGAGGGGAAAATGTTGGAGTTGGGCTGTGTCGACTAGTCTCAGAATCAAATACTATAGGGATGGTGAGGGTGGTGGTCGAAAAAGGGGGAAGGGGAGGGTGGAGGATCGCAGCCAAATTTCTGAAAAGGTGCGAACGTGACAGTTGACCCAGCTAACAAGGAATTGTTATCTATTTCGCCACATTCGTCACTTCACTAGGAAACTGGGTTCACCACACGCTTTCACCTACTTCTATCACCTTGTTTTTTGCAATTCGAACCCATTACTTGCCTATTTTCGCTCAGACTGATAATCTCTGTTGAAACGATTGCTGCTGGACGATACATATTTATGCTGCCATTGACGACCTCACGGGCCTTTTCCCTCGCATGACGATTGTTGTCTTTAATGAGTTGTCTGCTAAAAAATGCGATACGAAATCCCTCGTCACGGATGCTGGTCGATAATTTGCTGATCGTGTTGATCTCCTGAAATAAGTAGGGGATGCAAAAGAGAAGGACAATAACAACCGAATAAATTGTTTGTGTGTTCTGAAAAAAATCGGCCAATTTTAGCTCTGAATCATCACCAAATGGAGCACAACGGCTATTTGGATCGATCGAATCCATTGTCGCGCTGAACAGCAACAGAATCAAGGTCAACCGTCACGATGGACCGATTTCGAAAATTTTACGACCCCTGCCTTCTGGAGGGCCTCGAATCCAGCCCCCTCAGCTCAACCCCTTCACACCCCTCGCCTGGTCATCCGCCATCTATAGGGTCCCTCTATACTTCTAGAGTACTCGACCCTGAGACCACTCGACACAGTCCAAATTCCGCTCTGACATTTCTCCTCCAAAATTGCCGTCGAGCGGGGGAAGGGGGGGAGGGGGGGGACCACGAAACCGCAAATATCCCCCACTTCCCCTCTATTTCACCAACATTCACAAAACGCAAAATTTTAGCGCGCCAACCAACTGCATCATCACTTCCCTTACTGTAACATTAACGCTACCTCGCAAAATACGACCCCCCCCCCTTTTTTCCACCCCAAATACGACCTCCCACCCCTCGTTGGACTTTGTCCAACGCATGGTTGACCCTGAACAGAATTCCCAGACACGACAGAGATATTCCACGACAAGTCCAATGGAGCAACCTTTGCGAATAGTTCACCTCCTCCACAGATGTTAATATCTATTCCCGAACTAAAAATTGGAACGAGGCCACTAATGTTTAAGCCGCATGAAGAATAATTCCGCCCCCTACTAGTGGCTACGCCCTTCAACATCGTTACATTGTGATCAGGAAGTTTAGCAACTAATTACGACAAGAAGGTAGTAGCAGCAATCCAGCACTGAAAGTAAGCCTGATGGGGACCCAATGATACATTTCGATGTCAACAAGAGATATGTACCTTAGTGAAAGCCCTACGAAGGAGACGCTCTGTACCACGAAAAACTGAAACTTCCGTCAAAAATTTGCCTCCGGTGGTGTCCTGATAATGAAAATATATAATACTATAATTCATTTTGAGCTAGTGTCTTTTGGTGTGATTTTGCGCACACTCCATGCAGTAGCTGGCTCCAGAAAATGCCTGCTACTGGTTTCAAAAAGGATGCTCCATAGGTTTCCCACTGGCATTCCTTGAAAGATCTAGTAAGCCTGATCACATACTTCAACATCCTTTTCATTCTGCAACGATTGACACTTTCGCTTGCGCACTCTTCGATCCAGCTTCTTCATGGCATTGAATTGACTTTCCATCATGAATGGTCCATTGATTTCAAAAAGGCTCTCATCCAATTGTACACTGAAGTTCTCAATATAGTTGTGACCCTACTAAAAACCCTGATTGGAATATTCTTGTGAAAGGTGACATAGAAATAAAAATACGCAGCAACCTTATGTCTTTGTAGATCTCATTGTAGTAGTTTGCCTCCTGTATGATATCAAAAGTCTCAGATGAAAATACGCAGAATTCAGGCATATACCTCGACGACTCTCCTAACATGTCTATGATAAAAATGAAGCTCTCACAAAAAGTCGTATAGTCTAAGGAGGAAGGCGGTGTTTGTTACACTGGTTTTAATGTAAGCGATAAAATCCATCATCTCAGGTTTATTACAGGAACACATCACATTCGATTATATCAAGTATGCGAGGTCACCAGAACATTTACCAAGAAATTACCTTCAAACAAACAGAAATCACAAGTTCAATAAATAATAAATTGAAAGGTATTTATGAAACGACTAGATAAAGTTGCTACAAAGATTGAAAATGTGGAAGGAATACGATAGAGATCAACTAAAAATTTGTGGCGTTAGGACGGTCTCCAATGTATACAGAAAATGACAGGACAGATTTAACTGATTCGATGGGAGCAATAGAAGATAGAGTTAAAGGTTAACCACTTCTCCGAAAATTGAATACTGTTAACAACTAACTGATTTAAAAAGCCATCTAATGATGTCCACCGCGAGCAAATTTCAAGCCCCAGAAAAGAAGCACACCAAAAACCACTGCAGCTGCTTTCGTCAAGCCCTGAAAACTGGTCACCTTTTTTGAAAGATTCTCACTCCTGAACGCTTTGAAAACTCACTTGAAAAGGTGATGCCTGATGTCCATGAGCACTGTGCTGTGCGCCGTTTCCACTGTGGCTATGTCCGTGGGAGTGACCAAGCTCAACACTCAGCATTTCCACACATGACACATACACAAATGTACCAGCTGCCAGACCTTCGAGAACGAACCGCAGCGTGAGTGAGTTTGAATGAATTTGGTCGACCTACAGAAAGCTTTATCTCATCACCGATGTCATAATAGAAGACAAGCCAAGACCTAGTGATGCTCCAAATGATTTGTGTGATATTTAGGCTTACCACGACAGCAGTGATCATTCCTGCTGGGATACTGGCCGACAGAATCAACACAGTTGGTAAGGCGGCACGCACGGGTGTATGCTGTTGAGCCATCGACACACCATATGCGACACAACATAACACCTATAACATTTAGAATGCAGTAAACATACCTTTAAATAGTGGCTATTTCACTATGAAACACAACCCCTCGATTGCCCAGAGGGGTCAGTCCTCGCGGCCTGTAAGTGCGCG